ACACACACACACACACACACACACACACACACACACACACACACACACACACACACACACACACACACACACACACACACACACACACACAAGCACCAAGTTTGAGTTTTCCATTTTACGTTAGGATAAAGGAAGTCTGAAGTTCATTCCAAAGTGCTTTGCTTTCATGCAAGAAAGGCTAAGAAAACTAGATACGAAAGTAAACAAATACCTGGGGCTGCCTGTAATCTGACAAGGGATATTGCCTGGTATCAGGAGAATGTTGCCTGTAGTCTATCAAAGGAGGCTGCCTGTAGTCCAGTGGAGGTGGTTGCTGGTAATCCAACACTGGAGGATGTCTGTAGTCTATCGGAGGCTGCCTGTAATCCGTTGAAGGCTGTCTATAGTCTGTAAATGGAGGTTGCCGGATGTCGGGTTTCACATCCTGCCTTGCTTTTACCTCTGACCTATAACTAAGTACAAAAGAAATGTTATATTCAAGCCTCTCTTTCTTATGTGAAAAGCATATTGTTGGATTTTAAAACAGAGTCCAATGGACTTTTCAAAGCAATAGAGGCCTAACATTTGTGGTACTGCATGTTGAGGATGAAACCACATAAATGCTTACCTAGCGCCAAGTGGCACACTGCTTTCCGGCTCACAGACTATTTCCCAGCAATTTCCAATAAGCAATTCTTCCCTTTACTCTTCTTTCAGTTGCCCCATCAACAAATAGTCTTCTGAGTTGCCCCTTTGAACCCCACCTCTCTTGCCACCTTGGTTTGCTAATCTCTCAACTGAAACAAGTGACAGCCGATGACTTTTGGCACTAGAGAGGCATAAAGGACCTCATACCTGAATTGATGCACTGCACAGATGTGCCAGAGATGTCAAGGACCTGATATTTGTGCTACTAATGGGTTGCCAACGTACCAGGGTCAGAAAAATGGTCATTAATACCAGCAACGGACTCCTTGTTATAGATAACCACAAGGTAATTATGCAGACTGGTAAAATGTCTTATGTAGTTACTGACGACATAAACACATACTGTACATTCTTAGAGCCCAAGCCTAGATGTTATCTCCTCAGCAGTCAGTCAGTTGAATTTAGTAGGGCTTGCTCATAGGTAACTGCATATGGGAATACAGTTTTTACAGCAGAGCCATAGGGGAAAATTCAGCTGACTTCCTTATAGAGATTTGGGAAATGGATACTCATTTGGTTAACAAAAAGAGGCTACACTTGTCATATATTGATATATTGGACATACGTAGACCAATGGCAAGAAAGAATCTCTACTTGATTCAAGAGAACTTCTCCCTCCTTCTGACACTTCATCCATCCTGTCAACAGTGCTCCCTGACTTTCTGTGTATAATTTCCATGGGGTGGAGGGGCTGCAGTGTTTGGGAAGACAAGGAAGTATGCTTCTATGAGCCCAGTTGCACACACAGGGATCAGGATCCCATCCACGAAAAATTAATAGCTCCTACTGGGTCTACCTCAAGCTATTTGAAGCCTATGCTTATACAGATTTTGCAGAACTTTCACCCCAGCCTCCACTATATTACATGAAAATAAGTCCATACATTTTACTGAAATGTGTATCACCAGGACAATGTGTTTAGAATTGTAGCCTAAACCTTGTAGGCACGTTAAATAAAGCTGACATGCAGGACTCTGTACTTGAACCACTACTAATTAGTTCTTTCTCTGGCACAGTCCAGAAACTTTGAAACTGTCATATACTGTTGGGTCAAGGTTTTAATGAGGTACATTGGTAAATCAATGATGTGAAGTAGGTATAAAGATAATGTATTTTGTCATGTTTTAGAAGAGAAAAGTTAATCCAAGGACAAAATATAATTGTCTGAAAATTATCAAATGATCAAAGAATTTTTTAACCTCGTAATGTCTTCTGAACTAGCACTTCCATACTTTTACCTGTGACTGAATGGATGGTAAACAGCAATAACGAACCAGAAAAGCTATTTAGACTGAAACTATGTCACAAAGAAAGCTCTTAATGTAATGAAGCAGAAAAGCTATTCAGTGAAACTATGTCACAAAGAAAGCTCTTAATTGTCTCATGAAATGGATTTATAAGACTGCTTTCTTCTTGCAGATGGTGAAGGAGTCAGTTTTAGGACTGAAAAGAAGTAAAATAATCATGACCCTAACAGAGCTGATCTTCTTGTCCACTTTTGATGTGGCAAAATCATCAAACATCCTTTTTGTAAATAATTCCGCCCCCCAGGTTTTTCTGGGACCTTATAGCAAGTCTTCTTTACCACAAAAAGGGGCAATTCTATTTTGACTAGTGGCAAATGAAAGCATTGGCAATTATGACACAGGCTACAACTTCTCCTGCAGTATTTTCTAGATTCCTCATCTATTGCATTCGACTAGTACTGCTGGAAAAGTAAACATCAAACACTTTCACTGACTTCAGGGGTTTGATCCAGAGACTCTATCAGAAAGAATTCTGATCACAGGAAAGGGGAGAGTCGACTGATTTCCCATTCCTTCTAATCTACCCTGTAAAAAGTGCAGCTGAGGATCGGAAGAGCTTTCAGAAGAGTGTGAGAGGTAATGTTGGAGACTCCACAAAGAAGAGGGAAATGATGAAACTCCCCTTCCATTCCTCTCCATGAATGGCAGAGTCTGCTGGTTCACAGTAAGAGGGCTAGTGTGGTTACATGATAAAACACTGAATATAACTGAGCTGTCTTCATTAACCCCCCACCCCCCATGAAGTGGGGCCCAAGGTGAACCATTGAGTTTCACAGCCAAATGACAATTTGAATCTACAGTAGGTCTCTGGAATCCTAGTCCAATACCACCTCTCCTACACTGGCTCTCCATCATGGTCTTGCATTGCACATGTTTCAGACACTGTTTTACCCTGTGCATCACATGAAGCAGCAAAAAGATGGGTTGTCTTTTTCCCCTTACCTGTTTTCATGTCCTTGAGGCTGGAGCGGCTGTGGAGGTGTTGGCTGTGCTACGGGGCTTTGCTGTGCTACAGGACTCTGCTGCGAAAGGGGACTTTGCTGAGCCATGGGGCTGTGCTGTTGCGCCATGGGGCTGTGCTTCTCTGAGCTGGGTGCAGAAGCTGGGCTGTTCAGCTCTGCACAACAGAACAAAAGAGAGCAGAGGGCTGACACAATAAGGCATTTAGCAAAAGGGAAAAGTGAGGCAATTGGTGCTGTTTCTGCCTTTCACTATCTTGGACTGTAATTAGTTTTTAATGCAGTTATACCGAGTTGGATTCGACACAAAGGTTCCCTTTCTCATAACTCCTTTTAAGACCTGGGAGAACTTAGGAAACGTATGATGTCCCCAATGTGAGAATTTTATTCACAGTGAACTCTATAGCGACAAAGACTGAATGAACCTTAAATGACTTTAAAAGCATATCTTATACTGAGTCAGACAACTGGTCCATCTAACCCCAAACGGGCAACTCTGACTGGCAGAAACAGCTTTCCAAGAGCATAGGGATGGTCTATCTGAGTTGTGTGTGTAGACCAGGCCTCCCCAGTTAGAGGGCATGACTACTGGGGCCTGGTAATGCTTCTGGAAAATTAGACATTTTCTCATCCCATTCCTAAAAAATCCTTTTAATCATCAGGAACTTGGGGGGGGGGTGTCCACAGGACAGAAAGAGGGATGACTTTACTGGCAGCTGCAGTTTCCTGTATTTCAGTATCTCCTCCCTCTGCCCTGAAGCTGCCATGGGTTCCCAACAATGAAATGGCATTACTTAGGACCACTGGGGACTTTGAGACAGGAAGGGGAAATGTTTAGTTCCCAACAAATGGTCCTGACTGAAGACATCATCAGCCTTACATTGAGGTAGACTGACTAGTGGGGTTTCAGCCAATGACTGGTAAAAATATAAAAACAAAGTGACTGATCACTTTTTTTGTGTGAAATCACCCAAACCTGCCAACTCAAACAGGTTATTTCAAAGAATTTGCTGGAAAGGTCCATCCTGCTATCACTGCACTGCACAAAGATTATACAAGTTGAATATACTAGGAATCCTAGTCCTACTAGGAAAGTTCAGTGGTTTAGTATCTGGCTGCAGGGTCAGGGTTTGGGAGTTGGATTCTCCACTGGGCCTCCTTGACAGGGGCTAGACTTGATCCATTGGGTCCCTTCCAGCTCTGCAGTTCAAAGATTATTATATTATTATCCCTTCTAGCTCTGCAGTTTTAAAAATGATGATGACGACAACAACCTATTGAACCCAGTGGGATTTAAGCCATGGCTAGCTTTTCACACAAATTTCACAGGGAGCTACGTAGGTACGACCGAGTCTGACTGCCACCCTTATTAGTATTGAGCTAAGTCAAAAATGCAGATAATCAAAAATGTTCATGCTCTCACTCATTCCAGAAACAAACAAACAAACAAACAAACAAAAAACCCCACAGAATCACAAAGCAAACAAATAGGAAGCGGGGAGGGGGGGGGAACCCAAAATAAAAACACTCAAGCACATTAGCTGACATCAGTAGAACTGCAATAATGTAAAATGGGGTGAGGACAGAAGAGGGGCTGTGAGTGATGATCTCCAACTACGGCATAGTGTTCATTCTCCCACAAGGGAAAAGAACAGGCCTTGCAGTGCTTTATCAAGAGTCCCCCCCACCACCCGGGTGGTTCAAATATACTTTTTTGCCATTTGAAGTGCTTTTGCAGGGCTTAGGCTCTCTTCAGGCGAGGTCTGAAGGGATCAAGCAGTAACATTTATATAATACCCCACACTGGCTGCCCATATAACAACTTCCCAACACTCCCAAAGGCACAGTTCAGATTAATTGGTTGCTACTTCTATTTTCCTTTTGGGTTTTAAGGGTCAATTACTTACCCTCCTGAGGAATGATGCGAAGAGTTACACTAAGACCAGCATCTTTAATTAGCTTCACAATATCTGCATGAGGCATGTTAATAATAGACTGGCCATTCACAGCTAAGATCCGGTCTCCAACTTTCAGTTTCGCACAGCGGTCAGCAGGGCTCCCATCAATTATCCGACCTATTTTATGGGGTACAGCTGGAAAAGAGAAATATATATATGCATGGTAACACTAGTCAGCAATCAGCACAACACTGTAATACATACAAATGTTTATATACGGGTAAAATGGCTTGCACTGGGAAAAGTCTAGACTGTCTCACTGTGTTCTTAAGTGGCTGGTTCACCCAGCATTTGTCTTTCTCTGTCTCTCCCTTCCTTTTCTCTCATACACAAGCTTCCATCTTCAGCACACTTGCCTTTTTGTTTAGCATTTAGCTGCTAAATCAGTGTTACTGGAGATAACGGCAGTAACATGACAGAGAACCAACAGTCACTTTGGAAGCCATGATATTCATTATAATTGACTGCTCTTTTTGATATATCGACCAGATAGGTGGGATATAAATAGAATAAACAAACAAACAAATAACTATTAATCATGGATAAAATGTCCTTCTTTTTCCTGCACTCATATCTTTGCGATTCATGTATTTGGCTGAGGAAGGTAAATTGAAAGGGCAGAGGTGCAAATGCCCTTTGAGTGCTGGCTATGACACTAAGTAGGCCAATAAAATAGTTTTTTTGTCGTTTCCTCTCATGGGACACATGGATGGAAAGACTCAAAAAACCAAATGTGGGGTGCTATATGTATATCCTGCTTCTAATGAAATGCACTATATGGCTAACTTCTACTTGCTAGCACATGTGTTTAATTCAGATTTCAGCCAAAATAAGCGCTCAAGTGTCCTATTTAAACACTATTAAATGCAGATTAAGTAAACATGTGTAGAGGGCAAGAGTATGGAAAGGAATCCATGGAAGTGCTTTACACAGTTTGGAAACTCAGTTTTCATATGAAGTTTCTCCATGGATAGAGGAGGCTCTCCCCTTGAGACGGTCAGTCTCCACAGCTGGAAGGCAACATAACTGGTAACAGAGATGAGGCAGTGCTAAAGCAGTCCTCTTCCTCCTAATTTTTTTACTTAATTCATATTTAACAATGCCTGAACAGGACTAAGGTCGGGTCATGTTTCCTTGCCTGCTATTGAGATAGCTCACAAGCCTGCAAATTTAAATGGACAGATCTTTGACTTACAGCAGCCTTGTGTTTAAAAAAAAATGGGGAGGGAACGCTAAGTCTTCATCCCAGTATAAACAGCAAGGTGTAAGGTGACATCTACATCCCTGCCTATGGTTCATTCTGTCTATGGTTTCAGCATTGGGCCTGATTCTGGCTGTAGACCTCATGACCACATCTTTGGAGCCTTTGGTTGCTCTCCAGTACCTGCCTTTTGTTTCACCTATTCTGACAATGAATTCTGAGGAACTCAGAAACTTGTGCATATTTATGGCATTTTGGTTGGCACCTATTAAAAAACGGGTTCAGTTTTGGATTTTGTTTCCACTGGCATAGCAGTCAGTTGTCCCCTCATGAACAAGTTAATCATTCATGCAAGAAAGCAAAGTGCAGACAGTTAGCAAACTATTTTGGACTGGGATGTGTGTGTGTGTGTGTGTGTGTGTGTGTGTGCGTGCGTGCGTGCGTGCGTGCGCGTATGCTTTTTCTCTGAATGAGCAATGCACCTTCGTTTTTGTTTAGGGTAGGAATATTTGAGTGATCTTGGTTTGGTGGAAACGGCTGCATTAAGGCTGAGAATCTCAAAGCTCATTCAGGTCCTAGATTTAGACAAAGAAGTATGAAAGTAACAGTAGTAGGTCAAGCTGGAAATCTAGGTTAGAGGCATCTGCTAAATCCCACTCAGTAATTCCCATACACTTTTGTATGAAACTAATTAAACAAGATGAACCAGTGTTCTCTGTCCAGAGAAGAAGTTGCCTGCTTTTGGTTCCTGCTGCTCTGGTTTTGGTTCTTTCCAAGCAATGGCCATTGGGAATTGATCACTCTGATATACTACTCAGCGTTCGATTTTGGGTGATGCACTTTGAGGTCAAAAAGGAACTTAGTGGTCCTGCTGTACCATCTGTCCATCATCTTGCTTTCTGCATCTCAGTCCAATCCAGCAGGGAGAGGCAAATCAAGAGGGAATGGTTTCTTCTTCTTGCTTGAGAATTGTTGTTGTTTAGTCATTTAGTCGTGTCCAACTCTTTGTGACCCCATGGACCAGAGTATGCCAGGCCCTCCTGTCTTCCACTACCTCCTGGAGTTGGGTCAAATTCATACTGGTAGTTTCGATGACACTGTCCAACTATCTCATCCTCTGTCGTCCCCTTCTCCTCTTGCCCTCACATTTCCCCAACATCAGGGTCTTTTCCAGGGAGTCTTCTCTTCTCATGGGATGGCCAAAGTATTGGAGCCTCAGCTTCAGGATCTGTCCATCCAGTGAGCATTCAGGGTTGATTTCCTTTAGAATGGATAGGTATGTTCTCCTTGTAGTCCAGGGGACTCTCAAGAGCCTCCTCCAGCACCACAATTCAAAAGCATCAATTCTTCGGCGGTCAGCTTTCTTTATGGTCCAGCTCTCACTTCCATACATCACTAAAAGGAAAACCATAGCTTTGACTATGTGGACTTTTGTCATCAAGGTGATGTCTCTGCTTTTTAAGATGCTGTCAAGGTTTGTCATCGCTTTCCTCCCAAGAAGCAGGGGTCTTTTAATTTTGAGGCTGCTGCCACCATCTGCAGTGATCATGGAGCCCAGGAAAGTAAAATCTGTCACTGCCTCTATATCTTCCCCTTCTATTTGCCAGGAGGTGATGGGACCAGTGGCCATGATCTTAGTTTTTTTGATGTTGAGCTTCAGACCATTTTGGCTTGAGAATAGTTTTGCAATTTCTAGATGGCAGACAGAGAACAAAATTAAGAAATCAAACAGGGCTAGGAGGCTCTAGGAGTCAGAGGTCGGGGCTCTGCTCTAGTATAGCCCTTAGCAAGTGTCCAAGATGCCAGTCCTTGGCACCAACCTTACTAATACATCAATGACACTTGCAAATTTGTAATGTGAGTTGTGCTGGTCATCGACCATCTGGGTAAAGAACTGATCTGATCTGAACTGAATGATTATATCTGCACCAGGAATTATTGGATTGTTCAGTCGCTACTAATGTATTCTTGAGGCCATTCTACAAGCTAGTGCATGCATGTCCTTGTGGTGAGGGTCCCTCAGAAGTGTTAAAGTGTGTGTGTGTGTGTGTGCGCGCGCGCATGGCTGGGATGCTCTACAACTATTGCTTTTCAAAATACGTGCCCAGTGTAATTCTGTGGGATTCTGTGGGACATGACTCATCAATGTGCATGCTTGCCACACAGTTGCCCACGAAAAGGGAAACCTTCCTGTATACAGCAGGAGTGACACTTCGCCACATACAACCATCGGAAACACAAGTACTCAAGTCCTTGATATTCCAACTTGAAACTAAGGTGTAATTTCATAAAGATATGAAAACTGCCTCAGATTCACTCTTGTTTGTGTGCATTTCCAGATCCTGGCATAAAATGAATGGAAAGCATTTTCTTCTACTCAGTTTCATCACATTATAGATGCAAGGGATGTAAAAAGGAACTTTGAGAGTCATGTGCCAAAACTTGCAAGATCAGCAAACTGACATTGTTAAGTAAACAAATGAATTGCACTGATCACTGTGCTAGTACAATACAGGGCATTTTGTCAGCACTTGCCAGGGTATATTGCTTGCATGGCTGAACAGATCAGCCAGTGCATACTTTTTTAGTGAGTGAAACAAGTAGCTAACATTAATTTCATGATTTGCAAGACCAGCAAAGATTCTAGGTTTTATAGTGAAATGAATTGTATGTTTGCAGTTAACTCTGAATACTTAACTTTCCCATTGCCTTTACACTTTCTCAGCCTGCATGTTAAACCTGAGATCCCCCATCCTAAGCCAGGGATGTCTTTGTGACTTTTAGAATCATCTTCAAGATGATGCAAGACAGTTGAGCACATTGATAATAGAGTTAACCCTATGACATCATAATCATCTTTTTCTGGAGCTGACACAACCAAGTTGTTTATCCCTCTCCTCTGCCATAGAACCATGTTTGCAATGCTTGGAAGTATGTGTAATCTTACACACATAGTTCCTGGGCAACTATGGAAGATGTGATCAAAAAAAGTAAATTATCAAGCATTGCATTTTTGCAACAGGGTGCCGCTTTGCTGTCAGAATTGCATAGCTTGCCTCTCCAATTCCTTGTGAGGCATTGTTTACAGCCCCAGATCCATTTTTGCTTTTCATAAAGGCCTGTAAGATAGAGGTCATGATGTTGCTTATTATGACTCATTTCATTGAAGCTATAAAATGGCTGTAAAGCTGACTCCAAAAATAGGTACCTAGATGTTTTTCCACCTAAAACAAGAACAAGATGGTGCCTCTCCCCATTCCTTGTACAGAAAGCTGGCTGAACTGACACTTGTATGTCAACATTAAAAACAGGTGAATTTTTTCCACTATACCCGAGGACAGCTGATTTTTGTAGAGTGCATAGCATGTGTACAATATACAAGGCGCAGCCCTCTAATACTTTGCCACCCTCATCTGAAACTTTGGTTCTTGAGGTGACTGCCCCATTTTTGCCTAACAGTAGGGTCAGGAAGTAGTAGCAAACAGTAGTGTGGCAAATCTGTGTAGTAGTGACATAGCAGTCGAAAGGAGGTCTATACATACTTCTACAGTGTGACATCTTACAGATGTTGGCACAGCAGCTTTGTACCCTTTGTATTCAGAATGATTGGAGCTTAAATGACTAAAGCTCTTCCACAGTGACAGAATTTAGATCGCAAGAGGTGCCATTAAAATTTTCGCCTTTCTCCAAATGAAGGAACTCTGTGTCACAGAAAATATCCATCTTTGAAAACAATACAAGGTCAGTAAGAAAGTAAGTTTTAATATCAGTTTTAAACTCATTTAATTTTGTACCACAGAGTTTAAAACTCATTGGTGCTAAACATTAGCTTAAAATGGAAGTGTCACGTTGGGAGCGTCCCTGCCTTTTCATCACAGTTTTCCCCCACTCCTGAAAACTTCCTGAATCCATATCAAATACAACTTCTCAAACT